GCCCAGGACAAGTTGGCCAAGGAAGAGGCAGGACAAAGAGTCGCTACCTTGGAGGCTGAGTTGTGCAGCATGGAGGACACCTAGCGTCGGGAGTTAAATGAGAATGAAAGGCTCCTGAAGGGCTACAAAATCCAATGCTCCAAGCATATGGGTTCCATTGATGATCTCTAGCAGGAGGTGGCCCGGCTGAAGGAAGAGGTCAGTCATTTGCAGCAAGGGCTTTCCAAGCAGGATAGCTGACTGATTGCTTTGGCTGGGGAGGTCAAGTCCGAGAGATGCCTGAAGGTGGTGTCCGAGGAAGACACTCAATCAAGTCGTCCCTCGATCGAGCAGCTAAGGCAAGACCTCGAGGAGGAGCGGTTGACCTATCATTCGTCTGCGACGATTGTTAAGGACTTGGAGGGTCAGCTCGCTTACTTAGACTTGGAGCAATATAGGAAGAAGATCGTCGATGACTGGCGCCATGGCCCATTGGGTAAAACTGAGGTAGCATTGGCTTGCAAGGCCGGTGTCGACTATCTGGCCTCATTGCTCCCCTCTGGCTCTCGTCCCATGCCTGATCGCCTTTACCATCCCCCCATGTGTCTCTTATTGCCTTGACCTTTTAAATGAGATCGAGGTGAGCAGATCAGGGGTAAATCTGGCATTGGACGATGGCGGTGATAAGTCAGGGGAGGACCCTAAAGAAGATCCTCTCGCCTCCTCTCCTGCTGTCGCTACTGAGCTTGTTGTTCCTGTCACCACCAGAGCCCCTGGCAACTCTGCTACTGCCGCCGAGAGACTGTCAAGCCCTACTCTCGGATCTGGTCGGAAGCTCTAAGGGCTCGTATCTCCTCTGCATTATTTTGTTGTTTTTTTGTATATCGACATGCCTTATTGTAGATAGACATGGATATTGTAATAAACTTTATTAAAATAAAGATTGACTTTGCTCTCATTTTGAGTCTTTCTTCATTTACTCCTTGTTGTAGCTTTGCTTGGGAAGCTTGTAGCTTTGTTCTAATTGAAAGAATAAGTGTTGACTGTCATGAGTCGGTAGTATTCAGACGACTCAACTGTTGAGGGGTTAAGACGACTGGCTCATGTCACGTCGCTCGTGGGTGAGATGTTCGAGTCTTGTTGACAAGAACTGACAGGTAGATTTGCCTAAGTCTCTTTGTTAAAGATGACCGAACATCTGAACTCCATGCCTTTGGTTTACCCATGATGGAACCAAGGGCTTTTCGGCAGAGTGACAACCTAGAGGTTGAGTGCCTAGAACTTACGTAGATGCCTGGGTCTTTGGCGAAAGGACAACCCGGAGGTTGGGTGCCCATGACTTACTTAGATGCTTGGGTCTTTGGTGAGAGGATAACCCAGAGGTTAGGTGCCTAGGACTTACGTAGACGCCTGAGTCTTTGTCAAGAGGACAACCCTAAGGTTGGGCGCCCATGACTTACGTAGACGCCTGGGTCTTTGGCAAGAGGACAACTCTAAGGTTGGGTTCCCAGGACTTACGTAAATGCCTTAGTGATAATTTTTACGATGTAGAGTTTTACAATAGTATCGAAAGGTTTAGGACCAAGTTAGACAAACTTGTAATTAATTTATAGTACAAAAGTTATACACCTCCACTTGTATCTTGCTACACTTAAATATCCTAATGTTTTCTAAAGCTTTCCAAGCAAAGTATATAAATTCAGAAATAATTCAAAATCTTTAGATTGTTCAACATATGATGCTTTAATTTTCCCACATCTCCTCTAGTATATAAACATAAGGTAACCCTCTAGCTTCATATTATATGATGAATATTATTTATCAAAGGGATTACATAATATTGCTTGTAATTAACAAAGGCTTAAATCTTTATTGGTTTAATTAAATTAAATACCTTACAGTTTATAAAGTTTCAATTACATACCTCCACTTGTATATTGCTGCACTTAAATATACTAATATTTTTTAAAATTGCATGTTTGTACCTTCTATACGCAAGAATAATATTTTTAATTTTCCTATATGAATATAATGGTATAATTTTAGGATAATTCTATATTTTCTATTTTTTCTATTAAAATTTTATTAACATGCAATTGTCTATTAATATATTATTAGAAATTACTAATAATTAATATGAGAGTTTTACAATAACACTGAAAGTTTTAGGACCAAGTTAGACAAACTTGAAGTGACATATAATATGATTAATTAACAATAATAATTAATTTAGTTTAGTTAGGATTAAAATATAATATTTAAAAAATAAGGGTAATATAGTCCAAAAAAAGTTTTTCTACAACTTCCTCTTTTAAAGGGAGTATGATATGATATGATATGATTCTAAACAAAGTATATAATTTCATTTATAATTCAAAATCTTGAGACTTATTCAAAATATGATGCTTAAAATTTTTCACATCTTTTGTACTACATAAATATAAGCTAAGCTTTTGGCCTCATATTATACGATGAATATTATTTATCAAAGGAATCACATACTATTGCTTGTGGTTAACAAACGCTTCAAATTTTTATAGGCTTAACTAAACTTAAATACCTTATAGCTTATGAAAGTTACACTCATATACCTCCACTTATATCTTAATGCACTTAAATATCATAATGTTTTCTAAAATTGCATGTTTGTACTTACGTACGTAAGAATGCTCTTTATAATTTTCCTATGTGAGTGTCATGATATAATTTTAGGATAATTCTATATTTCCTACTCCTTTCAAAATAATTTATTAACTTGCAATTATCTATTAATATAGTATTATAATTAATATGAGAGTTATAATAACATTGGAAGTTTTAGGGCCAAGTTAGACAAAATTAAAGTGACATGTAATATGATTAATTAATAATGATAATTAATTTACTTAATATATGATTAGAATATAATATAAAAAAATAGAGGCAATATAGTCCATGAAAGTTTTTTCCACAACACCTACCTCCACTTATATTTTAATGCACTTAAATATCCTAATGTTTTTTAAAATTGCAACTCTTACCTCCACTTATATCTTAATGCACTTAAACATCCTAATGTTTTTTAAAATTACATATTTGTACTTATATACGAAAGAATACTCTTTATAATTTTCCTATGTGAGTGCCATGGTATAATTTTAGGACAATTCTATATTTTCTACTTCTTCCATTTATTAACTAGCAATTATCTATTAATATAGTATTATGCATTATTCACGAGAGTTTTACAATAACATTGGAAGTTTTAGGGCTAAGTTAGACAAAATTAAAGTGACATATAATATAATTAAGGGCTTTGCTTCGGTGCTCCTAAAATCATTTATTAATTTATTTTTGAAAAAGGGTAAATTTGGAAAAACAAAAAAATCTTCGTCCCAACCAATTTCTCATCCACAGAATTCCATCAAACGCGTATAAATCCGTTTAAATAGAATCACAGGTGAATTACGCTAAGAAAATTCATCAATAAAGATATCAACAAGAAATCTAACATGTGAATGAATGCGATACAAGGAAATTGGATCCGAAGAAAATCGACCATCAACCATGTTGATGAACTTAAACAAAGCAATCATGTTCATTCAAAATCTCAGTTGTTTAGTTAAAAATTAATCGAATGAAGGTTCCCAAGGCCTAAGAGAAAGGCAATTAATGCCGGGCTCATACTACAGTTCCTCCATGCAAAAACAATTTATTTCCAGTCAGATTGGCCCGGTGGCGACACTCATGATCTCAGGCTCACTACTCTAGAGAAAGAAGACGCTCGTATGAAGTATTTCATAGGATCGATGACCATATCAAAAATTAAATTCCATTAGGTTTGGCCATCCACGCAATGAATTAGGGGATTGGAGAAGAAAACCACGTCAAAAAAATAAAGACACCGAGAGTTTTTCATTAGTTGGAGAATTCTAACTACTTCCTATTTATCTTCTTATTTATACTTCCTAAAATAACCTTTTTATCTAAGTGAAATTACTTTTTTGGGTGTGGAACTACTGTCAACTACCTTATCCCTCAAATTTAGGATGTGAGAGAGATTTTTAAGGAAACAAACTACACCAACTGCTTGGGAGCACCAAAGCTGTTGGCTATAATTAATTAATAATAATAATTAATTTAATTAATTTATAATTAAAATATAATATAAAAAAGAATAGAGAAAATATAGTCAGGTGAACTATATATGATTTATTTTTATTGTCTCACATTAGTCAGTTGAACCGTCTTTTCCCTTTTATTTATTTTTTCTCCTTGTCGACAGAGGGGTAAGTCGAGAGAGAAGAGGGGAAATTGCAAGAAGCGGGGCTTTCTGGAGATGAGGGGGAACGCAATCCTCGCCGGAGATCAGCTCGGAGACGCCGCCGGCTGATGAAACTATGTGGGTTTTCTTGCCGAAGGAGGAAGAGGTAGGAGAGGTGAATGTACCTTTTGGTTTGCTCTTATTCTTTGTTTGATTTGTTTTGGATATTTGCATAGATATACAGAGAGAATTGAGCGAGTACGTTGGTGTGTGTGTGGGGGGGGGGGGGGGGGGGGGGGGGGGGGGGTGGGGGGGGGGGTTGGGCGGGGGGGGTGGGGGGCGGGGGGGGGGGGGGGATACGTTAGGAACCTTCTGAGGTTTGAGTTTGTTAGCAAAAATATGTTTTTCAGATTTTTCTTTTATTATTAATGATATTTATTTTTATCTTTATTATTTTTGTTACCTTTTTGTTTATTCTTTTATTAGTTTTCTTATGTATGTATTTTTACGCGATTGAAATTGAGGAGGAGGAAAAATATTGTTGACATAATCAAATTTGTTCTCAAGCATCAGCTTTGTCATTTTTTTAATAAAAACTTTAATTCAACATAGTTTCTAGCTGATCTGATCTATTTGTGAGCAACTTTCTGTAGGTTAGGAGCTCTAGCTTCAGCTAGCTTCTCATTTTTCGCTTCATACAAGTTCAGTAGATACGACTGGTTGATTTAACTTGAGGACAATCACTTCTCAAGTATAGGTGCTGGTTAGGCTCTGATCATTTGCAATGTGTTTTTTTATTTGTTATTTATGTTTATTCAACAATGGTATCTACTCCAATTTGTTTATAGCTACCTATTGGATTCCTTCTGCATTTATTTTTGTAGCAGTAATCTAAATTGCTTTTAGTTCAGTTGACATATCTTGCTTGCTACCCGCTTGATTTTTTGCCTGAATGAAACTTGAAACCCGTAAAACAGTACAAACTGGCCCAGATGATCTGAATTATTAACGAAGAAGGCTATGCATAACTACACCACACGCCCACCTAAAAGGTGTAGCTGCTGTATCTTAAAATTCCTTGCGGGATTCTCCAGCTATGCCCCGCCTTATATTTACACGCAAACAAACATTGAAAAGAAAGGAAAAAAAAATAGCAAAAAATTTTGTTTCTAACACCAAAAGATATATCTATCTCCATTCTTCATTCCAATGCTATGGCCCCATTGGCTTCATCCCCGAAGATCTGCAGCTCCTAATTGCTCCTCTCCATCCTTATATTATCAGGTCCCCTTCTACGAACTCTGTGTCTGAAGTAGTTCCTGGTGAGAGCACTGATACTGTGATACAAGTGCTCCCTAACTAAAAATCAACAAAATGGTTAATCTGCCCAATAACTGCAATAGAATGTCTTGCATATTTTTTTTTTTAAAAATGCGATTGTTTCTTTCACACCAGATATCCCACATCAAAGCACTACTATACATGTCCCACTTCTACCTTGAAAAATGAGGCACACAGAATAATCTCCATGAAGACCATAACTCATGTACACTCATAAAATCACCAGTTAATGGATCCCCTTAGAGAAGCCACATAAAGCCAGTGTCAAAAAAAGAAAAGAAAAAGAGAATGAGTCTCAGTCTCGACACCACACAATACACATATATTCTCAATCACAATCCCTTTTCCAATCAGTATGTCCTTTGTATTCAATTTGCCCCTAATAGACAACCATAACAAGATTTTAATCTTCAAAGGAACAGGGAGCTTCCAAATACCAGGACAGTCAAATATCAATCCACCATCAACCAAAAAGTTATAAAAAGATATAACAGAGAACTTACCAGAAGCTTCCCATGTCCAAGTTCTAATATCCTGATTATTCTCTATATGATACTCATCAATAATATTCATCATCTCCAAATATTGCCACACTAAATGACCTGTTAGTTGTCTATGAAAAGGAATATACCAGACCCATCTACCATTCAGATATTTTCTACCAGAATAAACTGCCAGAAAAGGTTCAACATCAACATCAGATAACTCTGTGAACCTTGAGGCCAGAAACAAGTCTCCAGTCCATTTGTCTAGCCAGAATTAAATTCTTTTTCCATCCCCTAATTTAACAGAATAAAATTCTGTTGAGAAACATAGATGGGTAACCCATTTAAATAATGAGAAGGGTCGGGTTTGGGTCAAGCTTAAACGGGTGAGGTGACCTTTTTAGTCTGGGGTGGAACATAACCTTTTTGTCTAGAGGGGAAGCACTTTTTTTTTTAAATCCAAGGGGGTTGAGACAATTTTACCCACAATAAATGCTCATTTTAGTAACCACGAGTCACACATAAGCCTTATACCATTACTTCTTTTTAAGTCTTTAAGAAAAAGACAATGTACCAGTCATTTCCTGTTCAGCACTTGACTGTTACCATAAAAAACGGAGGGAAGCACAGCCCCTCACGAGAACCATCACCTCCTTTAGCTCCTTCCTAGAGCAAATTAGACAAGTAATTAATACAAATATTCATCTTTATTCACTACACTCCAGAGCCTTGTGAACTATCGAGTCATAAGAACAATGCAATGCACTATCTTGGATTCACAAGCCCACATCTTCAACAACAACAACTGTTTCTAACACCAAGAAGAAGAAGAAGAATAGTTTCTAAGCTCTGCTCTTGATCAAATGGGTAACCCCAAGCCAAATTGCCCTTCCTTCTTCAAGGTGATGATGGGGGATTTCGCAACCCAAGTGGTACACCCTTTACTCAATTTTTCATACTGCTCTGATTTTTATCAATTTTTTCTGATTTTTTACTACTTTTCAGAGAATCCCATCTGAATTCAAGAAGCATCTTGGAGAATCAATCACACAAAGATCGGTGGTCATCCGGAACTCTGGAGGCCGGCAATGGAGGATCAAGATGGGCATTGCTGATGGGCATGTCTACTTTCAAAATGGATGGGAGAGGTTCATCTGTGCCAATTCCATTACCCAAGGGGATTTTTTGGTTTTCTTTTATGACGGTAAATTCGGTTTTGATGTAATCATTTATGGAGCTACTTGTTGTGAGAAAGAAGCATGTGTCGATGTTCCTAGTGAGAAAGTGACAATTAAAGTAGAATCCGAGGGTTCTGGTGAAGAACAAATTGTGTCACCAAACATCCTTATATTATCAGGTCCCCTTCTACGAACTCTGTGTCTGAAGTAGTTCCTGGTGAGAGCACTGATACTGTGATACAAGTGCTCCCTAACTAAAAATCAACAAAATGGTTAATCTGCCCAATAACTGCAATAGAATGTCTTGCATATTTTTTTTTTTAAAAATGCGATTGTTTCTTTCACACCAGATATCCCACATCAAAGCACTACTATACATGTCCCACTTCTACCTTGAAAAATGAGGCACACAGAATAATCTCCATGAAGACCATAACTCATGTACACTCATAAAATCACCAGTTAATGGATCCCCTTAGAGAAGCCACATAAAGCCAGTGTCAAAAAAAGAAAAGAAAAAGAGAATGAGTCTCAGTCTCGACACCACACAATACACATATATTCTCAATCACAATCCCTTTTCCAATCAGTATGTCCTTTGTATTCAATTTGCCCCTAATAGACAACCATAACAAGATTTTAATCTTCAAAGGAACAGGGAGCTTCCAAATACCAGGACAGTCAAATATCAATCCACCATCAACCAAAAAGTTATAAAAAGATATAACAGAGAACTTACCAGAAGCTTCCCATGTCCAAGTTCTAATATCCTGATTATTCTCTATATGATACTCATCAATAATATTCATCATCTCCAAATATTGCCACACTAAATGACCTGTTAGTTGTCTATGAAAAGGAATATACCAGACCCATCTACCATTCAGATATTTTCTACCAGAATAAACTGCCAGAAAAGGTTCAACATCAACATCAGATAACTCTGTGAACCTTGAGGCCAGAAACAAGTCTCCAGTCCATTTGTCTAGCCAGAATTAAATTCTTTTTCCATCCCCTAATTTAACAGAATAAAATTCTGTTGAGAAACATAGATGGGTAACCCATTTAAATAATGAGAAGGGTCGGGTTTGGGTCAAGCTTAAACGGGTGAGGTGACCTTTTTAGTCTGGGGTGGAACATAACCTTTTTGTCTAGAGGGGAAGCACTTTTTTTTTTAAATCCAAGGGGGTTGAGACAATTTTACCCACAATAAATGCTCATTTTAGTAACCACGAGTCACACATAAGCCTTATACCATTACTTCTTTTTAAGTCTTTAAGAAAAAGACAATGTACCAGTCATTTCCTGTTCAGCACTTGACTGTTACCATAAAAAACGGAGGGAAGCACAGCCCCTCACGAGAACCATCACCTCCTTTAGCTCCTTCCTAGAGCAAATTAGACAAGTAATTAATACAAATATTCATCTTTATTCACTACACTCCAGAGCCTTGTGAACTATCGAGTCATAAGAACAATGCAATGCACTATCTTGGATTCACAAGCCCACATCTTCAACAACAACAACTGTTTCTAACACCAAGAAGAAGAAGAAGAATAGTTTCTAAGCTCTGCTCTTGATCAAATGGGTAACCCCAAGCCAAATTGCCCTTCCTTCTTCAAGGTGATGATGGGGGATTTCGCAACCCAAGTGGTACACCCTTTACTCAATTTTTCATACTGCTCTGATTTTTATCAATTTTTTCTGATTTTTTACTACTTTTCAGAGAATCCCATCTGAATTCAAGAAGCATCTTGGAGAATCAATCACACAAAGATCGGTGGTCATCCGGAACTCTGGAGGCCGGCAATGGAGGATCAAGATGGGCATTGCTGATGGGCATGTCTACTTTCAAAATGGATGGGAGAGGTTCATCTGTGCCAATTCCATTACCCAAGGGGATTTTTTGGTTTTCTTTTATGACGGTAAATTCGGTTTTGATGTAATCATTTATGGAGCTACTTGTTGTGAGAAAGAAGCATGTGTCGATGTTCCTAGTGAGAAAGTGACAATTAAAGTAGAATCCGAGGGTTCTGGTGAAGAACAAATTGTGTCACCAAAAGGAGTTGGTAGGAAGAGGAAGGCGAAAAAGATGATGACAGAGAATAGTGAGTGCTTAGCGTAATGATTTTGAAGTTTACGGATTTTTTTTGCACAATTATGATTATTTTTGAATGAAAACTGGAACTGAATTACAGCTACTTAGATATTATTGGACGATTATGATTTAGGAAGTGATCTCTTCTTGCTAAAACTTCAGTAATATTGAAATACTTATAAAGTGCTATCTCAATTTAGTATTTATGCTTTAAGTAGGTTTGTTGTTAACTAAGTTAATTGGTTAATATCCATACATACTATGTTTAACATGCCCTTTTGTTGTGTTGCTTGTAGAAATGTGTTACAAGGTCTTGAGAGGTGCGAAGCCAGTTGCTAATGAGAAGGCTATGAAAGCTGCGTGTGCTTTCAAGAGTCCTCATCCTCACTTTGTGACTACTTGCAGGACCGCGCGAACTAATTACATGGTCTGTTGAGTTATTATTAGTTTCTGTGTTTCTATTCATCTAAATGCTGTAGATCTGACCATATATGATTCTAAGTCTTTTTTCTAGCTGCATTTGTTAAAGTTGTGAACTTTATGGTTGTCGTATATGTTTCCAAGTCTTTTTTCTACCTGCATTTGTTAAAGTTGGGAACTTTTTTCTAGCTGCATTTGTTAAAAGTTGGGAGTTATTATTAATTTCTGTCTTTTTTATAGCTGCATTTGTAAGAGTGTGTTGCAGAGAACTGGTCCAGTGGCCAGGTATCTCAATTACAAATGTGGACTCCTTTTTGTGCTCATGATCACTGATCAAATTGTATGTTCCGGGCAATAGGATACATGATCATTGATAATTACTAGCCTCATCTATGGCCAAGAAAGGTTAACCCCTTAGTTACACAATCAAATATATCAGGCCTTCACTATATGTAGGTTCTGCAATTGGCTAGGATTAGAGGTTGGTCTATGTTTTGTCCACTTACTAAGCAACTTGGGTTGAGGTCTGGTTTTTGTAGATCATGGACTGCTCGGGTTCAGCGTTATTTGTACAATCTGAATAGCAAACCATATTTAAAAAAATTTAAGGGCTTTTTGGACTTTATTAGGTCATGTGCAATCTGCATTTTAAAAGTTGTTTTTTCTTATTCTTATCGTATGTATAGAAGTTTTGTGTATTTATTTTGTTACACATACTTTCCCATTTTGGCAAATCTAGTATTTAGTATTCTTTTAAAAGTATTCTAAATCTTTAGCCATTTTTGTGACCAAAAAGCAAGTATGAAAAAGTCAATGCTCATGTGTGAATGCATGCATATCATTAATCTTGTTTGTGTTGGGTTTATGACATGGTTGGGCTTTGCTTCAGAAGTTAAAAAATGATCAAACATATGGCGGAGAGTTTGATGGGGACTGAAAAAACAACCATGGATAAAATGACCAGGCATTCAAATTTAAATGATCAACCGACTCTTCAATTCTTCTTTCATTTGAATGATTGGTTGATTGTCGAACCACAGTGATCAGTTTAAATCAGGCAGTTGATTTGCCATTCAGTCCAGTGAGTTTGCTATCTAAGTCTAGGTGATATTCTTGTCTGATGCCCACCATTGGCTTGTGGTGTAGTTTGTATCAAATTAACAGGTAATGACTGTTCTCAAAAATGGTTGTAAGTAAATTCTTATCTAGGATTCTAGATTGGTCTTTGAGATCACTAATACATTACAATGTTACAGAAGGCACTAAGTGGACTAGGCATCCGAGCCGGGGCCTAACGCCTAGGCGCCTACCTGTACGCCTAGGCGATGCCTAGACGTTTGTCTATTTTTAAATTTATTTAATTATAATAATTCACAAAAATATGTATTAAGTTCATATAAAATTGCAGAAAAATTTGAATTAAAGTTGAACAAAATTAAACTAAAATTAACTAAAATTGAACAAGATTACCGTAAAATTAACTACAATTATCTAAAATTAACTAAAATTGAACAAGATTAAACTAAAATTAACTACAATTAACCAAAATTAACTAAAATTGAAAAAGATTAAACTAAAATTAACTTAATTAAACTAAATTGAACAAAATTAAGTATTTAAATTTATAAAACAGTTTATAAGTGAAAATTTTACCTAAAATAGTAAATAAGTTAACTAATTAAAAAACATTTTATAAGTTAACTAATTTAAAAAACAATTTATAAGTTTACTAATTAAAAAAAATTACCTGGCAGCTGGTGGGAGAAGGACCGGCGACGGTGGGAGGGAACCGACGGGACTGAAGGACCGGGGGAGAGGGGCCGACAACGTGAGAGGATCGGAT